AGGAAGAGCAAAGATAGAAAGTTCAACAAGGAAGAAGGAGATAGCTGGCAAAGCCATCTCCCTGAATTTGGACTCACTGCATGGGAGGATTGCTTCACACCTACAGATACTTCATGACTGTCTGCAGCACTAAAGGCTTCCACAAAGATGGGTAGCAGTGGAAGGGAGCAGTGGATGTGAAGCACTGCATTAACTGGGGGCTGTGTTTGATGCTACTGTTACTGCTGATGGTACCATTTTAGCCAATAATGACATAAGTGTTCTACCCAGCTTTTCTTCCTGGTATTCTAAGACTGAGATAGAAAATACTGTAGGCTGGTGCCAAATACCCAAGGGCTGGGCCAAGCAGGCAGCAACTTCTCATCCACAAAAGTTAAACAAGGTGGAGCCAACAATAGGAAAATAACATGACAAGGATAAGTCAATATATATCAGTTATGATCACCACTGTTAATGATCTCAATTCACCAATTAAAAGATGCAGACTGAAAAAATGGATCAAGAAACAATATCCACTAATGTGCTATGATACAAGAAACATGTATAATTCAAAAAGAAATTCAGAGACTGGAAGTCAAATGATGAAAAGCAATATTCCACAGGACAGGAACCTAAAAAGGAGCAGACATAGCTGTTCTACTAGGTGAACATTAATAAAAGGAGACAAAGGAGGTCACTGCATCCTCGTAAAGGGAACAATTCAAGAAGAAGAGATAACAATCATAAACACATATGCAAACAATACCGGTTCACATAACTATATAAAACAAATACTAACAGACATGAAAAACCAAATAAGCACTAATACAATTATATCAGGGGAATCTCAATACCTCACTATCACAAAAAGACTGATTAACAAGACAAAAAAATCAATAATGAAATATTAAAACTGAGCCAAGAATATAGACAGGAGCACAGTTCCTGCCTGGCGACTGCAAGGTTGTGAGCTTGATTCTCAGTAACAAAAAAAAACTAGAAATGAAGCAAACTTTTGAACAAAAGGACTTGGGAGATGTCCACAGAGTGTTCCATCCCGCAACATCAGAATGCACATTCTTCTCAGCTACACACAGGGCATTCTCCGAAATAGACACATATCAGCTCATAGAACCTGCTCAAGTAAAGGCAAAGGAATTGAAATTCTCCAATGCATATTATCAGACCATGGTGCAATAAAAGTGGAAATCAAAGGCAAAGGAAACTACAAGAAATTCATAAACACATGGAAATTAAATGAGATCATCCTGAATAACCAAAGGGTCACAGATAAAATTAGAGAAGAAATTAGACAATTTTTCCCAATTAAATGATAATCACAGTACAAGATATTAGAGCATACAGGATACAATGAAAGCAGTCCTATAGGGAAAATTTATAGCACTGAGTACCTGTATCAGGATAACAGAGCAAGCTTGAATAAACAACTTAATGCTGAACCTCAAACTTATAGATAAAGAAGAGAAAATCAAGCCCAAGACTTGTCCAAGGGAGAAAATGACAAAGATCAGAGCAGAAACTAATGCATTGGAGACTAAGAAAATAATGCAAAGAACCGATGACTCAAAGAGTTGATACTGAGGACTTCCAGGAAGATGGTGGCACAGTAAGCCCCAGAGAAAGGAGCCACTCTGAGAGAAACAGTCCAGATGCTGGAATATATCCTTGTGGGGAAGACAAGAAGAAAGAATGTGGGTTCCTTGGAACCGGGAAAAAACTAAAGTGAGAATTGGAGTCCACAGAGAGAGTAAAAAAGAAAAACTTTAATGAAGAAGAAGGTGGTAGCTGGCAATGCCTTCACCCAGAGCCAAACCTACTGTGTGGCAGGAGCTGTCAGAACCTGGGGATGCATGGTCACAATGATTGTGGTAGCTGGCAAGCCTGAAACCTTCTGTAAAGACACACAAAGGTGGAGGGGAGTGGCAGATACAAAGGACTGTACCGACAGGCAGTGAGTGTGGGAGGCTCAGTCCTCTCACAGGAAAGAGAGTGATTGGCCAGGAGCCATATCAGAATACGGCAGGATAAGCCCAGAACCGGAAATGTGGTTGGCTCCCTCCAGCAGCTCCTAGCTGGGAGCAGACCTTTGGAAATTTGCTCACACTGAGCCCTGCCCCCATGTGTACTCTAACAGACATGGTGGGGACTTCCTGCCCTTAACCAGGTTGGTAGGGAGGCAGCAGCTGGTCATGCCCCAGGCACACTCTGGCAACCCTCATTGTAGGTGCCCACCAGTAACCAGCTAGGAGCAGCAGCCAGCCCCGCCCCAGTGTGCACTCCATCAGCCACTGGTGAGCCAAAGCAGGCTGGGAAAAAAGCAGCAGTGCACCCAATGCACTGGCTGGGAAATCCAAACAGTCTCACTTCAGAGAAATTGTAGCTAGTACAGGAAGTGCCTGAGAGCCCATCACCCACTTGTTCAGAAGAACCCAGGAATATGTCAGGAGGAAGAAGCAAAAGCAGTCTCTGGTTTCCAACCAAGCAGATCTGGTCCAGGAGATGTAAACATGGAAGAGATCAGGGTCACACACATGAAATTTATGAAGTAATGGCAACTGAAGTAAAGAAACAACTTCATGAGGCTATAAAAAATTAGAACAGAAATACTATCTAAGGTAAAAGAAATGAAAAACATAGTAAATAAACTGCTAAGCACCTCTAAAGAAGACATAATGGAAGAACAGGGAAACAAAACAAAATGAGGGAAAACTTGAATGAAGAATATAAAATAAGATTAAGTGCACATGAAACACATTTAAGGAGATTTCCAGGGAATTAAAAATTCTTTAAATCTGACAAAACCACTTAGAAACCAAACATAGACTTTGAAATCTTGAAGACAGGTTTGCAGCTTGCGATTGTGAAAGCAGAGATCTCTTAAAAATAACAAGGAACCAGAAAGTAACAACTCAACAACTGCAAAACACCAAAAGAAACATACCTTAAGAAGAATAAATACAAGTGAAAAAGCAGAGCTCAACACAAATGACATTAAAAGTCTATTTACAGAAATAATTTCAGAAAAAATCCCAAGCATAGGAAAAGGAGATGACATTCACATAAGTGAGTTATAGAGAGTTCCAGCAGCTATAATCAAAATAAATCTACACCCAGACATATATAATAACCAAGATCTCAGAAATTCAACACAAGAACAAAATATTAAGAGAGCTATTAGAGAAAAGAAACAGATCATCTATAAAGGAAAATCTATCAGAATTACCACAGACTTCTCAACACAAACCATCAAATCAAGAAGAGCTTGGAGTAAAGTATTTCAAGTCCTAAAAGAAAACAACTTCTAACCCAGATTGATGTACCCTGGAAAACTATCTTTCAAAATTAACGGAGAAAGGGCTGGGGATTTAGCTCAGCAGCATAAGCACCTGCCTTGTAAGCATGTGGTTGTGAGTTCGATCCCTGGCACCAGTAAAAAAAAAAAAAAAATTAAAGGAGAAACAAGATTCTTCAGAGATAAAGAACAATTGAAGGAATTCATGGCCACCAAACCAACCCTACAAAAAATACTGAAGGACATTCTAGACAGAGATAAAGAAGACCATGTTTCCAAGAACAGTGGCAGTGGGGGCTCGCCAAGCAGGGCAGACAATGGAATGAAGGGGAAAACTGGACAACCAACATCGGAAAAATAGCATGGCAGAGATGAGGCAGAGCATATTGGCCATAATCACTAATATAGATGGCCTCAATTCACCAATAAAAAGAAACACAGGTAGAGTGGATCAGGGGACAGAGTCCATCAATATGCTTTATACAAGAAACAGATTCATTTATGGACTGAAAATCAAAGGAGAGAAAACAATGTTCTATGTGACAGGAAAAAAGAAAGGAGTAGGGGTAGCTTGCCTATCAACACCATAGTGGATAAGAAAGCCATGGCACTTTTGTACAATGGAAAGCTTTTCAGCTATAAAGAAAGATAATCTTGAGGCTCTTATAGGTAAATGGATACAACTTGAGATCATGCTTATGGAAACGGGTCAGAGTCACATAGGTAAATAGCATGTTGTCTCCCTAGTACAAACTCAAAGAATTAGTTGGATCAAAAATGCACAATACATCCTGTGAAAGTGAAAGGGTAAGAAGTGTCTAAAAAGAGAGGACAATGGCCATTGTTAATCCATTATCATGATTTGAAACCCATATTGTCTTCATTGTTCTATCTAGTTTGGTTTTATTCTGTTTCATTAAATGGTAACTTATTACATTTAATGGTATGAACAGCTATTTCAAAGATAACAAAATATATTATAGTAGCCATTATTGATTTCCTATTAGCTTGATATGAAGCCCTGTATTGCTTTCATTGTTTTGGTTTTATTCATTTTATTCTGTGCTATTTTGTTTAATTCTATTATGCTTGATGGTACGGGCCATTCTTTTGAAGATAACAAGAGGCATTATAGTAGCCATTTTTGAATTCCTTGTATTTTTGTTTCAAAGTCATGTACCACGTTCATCATTTTGTTTTGATTGACTCTTCTGTTTTATTTCATTTGGTTTTACTTTCTTTTAAAAAAAATGGGAAGGAAAACAAGAGTTGATTCTTGGAAAGACGAAATGAAATTGACAAACCCTTAGCCAATTTTACCCAGAAAAAGGGAAAGAAAAGACTCAAATATATCAATTGGGAATGAAAAGTTGAAATCACAGCAGACCCTTCAGAAATCCAGAATATCGTCTATACATACTTTGAGAATTTGTATTCTAATAAGATGAAACATATAGGAGAAGTAGACAGATTCCTAGATAAATATGAATTATGAAAGCTGAGTCAAGAATATCTCAAAATCCTAAAAAAGTCCAATGTCAATCAACAAAATTAAAGATGTAATTAGAAATCTACCAAAATGAAAAGCCTAAGCACTGATGGATTCTCTGCTGAATTCCACAGGAAATTTAGAGAAGATTTAATACCAATACATCTCAAACTTTTTAATGAAATTACAGGTAAGTAACATTCCCAAATTTATTCCTAGAAGCAAGAAGAACACTGCTACCAAAAGAAAGAAAGAAAACTACGAAAGAGAACTACAGATCAATCTCCCTAATGAACAGAGAGGCAAAAATTCTCAAGATACTGGAAAACAGAATGCAGCCTGTAATCAAGAAGGTTATGCATCATGACCAATTTGGATTTACCCCAAGGTAGGCAACAATGGTTCAACACATATAAATCAATCAATGTAATATAGTTTATTAACAGAACCAAAGAGAAAATCCTATAATTATCTCAATAGATGCAGAAACAGCTTTTAACAAAGTTCAGCACTCATTCATGATAAAAATCCCACAGAAAATTGGAATAGATGCTCTTTAAAAGCCATCTGTTACAAACCAACAGTCAACATTATGCTAAATGGACAAAAACAGAAAGCTTTCACTGTAAAATCAGGAATAAGACAAAGATGTCAACTGTCTCCACTCTTTTTCAACATAGTTCTGGATGTTGAGGCAGAACAATTAGAGAAGAAAAATAAATAGAAGGAATAATGATAGGAAAGGGAGAAGCTAAATCATCATTGTTTGAAGATGGCATGTTAATCTACATAGAAGACTCCAAAAACTCACCAGAAAACTGCTAGATTTTTATAAGTAAATTCAGTAGTATAGCTGGATATAAGATCAACACTCCAAAATGAATGGCATTCCTATACACAAATAACAAATTCACTGAGAAAGAAATTAGGAAACAATATTTTTCACAGTAACATCCAAAAAAATGAAATACCTTGGTATTGGAAACCCAAATATTGAATTCAGTCACCCAAATATTGTAATCCTCATAGGTTTCCTCACAATCCAAAAGTTATCAATATAATCCTATTGAGATGTTACTGGAATCCCAGCTGGTCAATTCCAGTCTACCACCGCCAGTGCAATCCACAGTAAGAGTAAAAACACAAAAGCGTATTCTAAGTTAAAGACAGCCAAAGCATCCTAAGTCCAATCTTTGTGAGAACATGCAGGTAAAGGCCTCATTTGAGGCCTCTCCCAGCATTTATTCTCTTATGAAGAAAGGTGGAGGCGAGTTGCTAATGGTTGAGTGATAGTGACGATGTTGGGGATTTCTGAGTAACTTGAGCTGGCTGGCCAGGTGCAAGGATGGCATCTTTGTAATTTGCAGAGATAAAGACATGCAGAAGGATCAATTCACATAGCCTGATTAATGTAGCAATGGAATTATTTTGGGGGGCTATTGCTTTGGTTTGTGATATACAAACTCTTGTGCCCTGGGGAGTCACAGCCTCTTATCTTGAGGCCATACCCAGTTGACATTCCTGGAATAAATTGCTCTACATCTCGCCAGCTCAATCCTGTATTGTGGAGAGCACCATGCGAGGAAACAAGACTGTCTGATGGTTAGACTTTGCACATTAGCACCTCAGCTAGCCTTATTTGCAATGCTTAGAGCCAAGTGAAGACAGAAGGAAATATTCTAGCCAACCTTTCACATATCAGATAAGGAAATGAGTCTCTAAATAATGAAAGTCACAGAAATTGTTTTGGATCCAAAAGAAGTCACTGGAGTTGTCTCTCACATCTCTGTGATGACTATAGATTTTGCACATTATCACCTGTGTTAGCTTTGATTGCCATGCTCAGAGTTAATTGAAGAGAAGGAAATACCTTAGCCACCCTTTTACATATTAGTATAAGGAAATGAGTCTCCAAATATTCAAAGTCACAGCAATTGTTTTGGATTCAAAGGGAGTCACTAGAGTTGCTTCCCACATCTAGTAATCAATCTAAAAAGAAGTAAAAGGCCTCTAATTGAAAACTACAGTAATCTCAAAGGAGATTAAAGATGCTGTCAGAAAATGGAAAGATATCTCTTGATTCTGGGTGAGAAGAACCAATATAGGAAAGTGGCCATACTTCCAAAACCATTATACAGATTCAATGTAATTCCAATCAAAATTCCAAAAACTATCTCATAGAATTAGAGAAAACCTAAAATTCATTTGGAACCAGAAGAGACCTAGAATAGCAAAGACAATTCTGAGCAACAAAAGCATGGCAGGAGGTATCACAATCCCCAATTTGAAATTATATTGTAAGGTTACTATGATAAAAACAGCAAAAACAGACAAAAACAGATCCAAGAATCAGTGGAAAACATTTTAAAATGCAGAAACAACTCCTGACATATTCAGCCACCTTATCTTTCACAAAAGTGCCAGACACATTCACTATATAAAGAAAGTCTCTTTAATAACTGATGCTGCAAAAACTGGTTTTGCAGTTGCTAAAGATTAAAATTGGAACCATATCTTTTGCCATGCACTCAACTAAATTCAAAATGAATGAAAGATCTAAATATTGAAAAAGAAACATCAAATCTTCTGGAAGAGAAAAAAGGTAAAACTCTTGAAGATATTCATGTAGGCAAATACTTTATGAATAAAACCTCAACCACAGAGAATTATCACAAAGAATCACCAACTGGGTTCTCATATTACAAAAAAGCTTTTCCACAGGAAGAGAAACCAACAGTCAAAATAAGAAACAACCAAGAGTTTAAAAATATGTTTTCCAGCTGTTCCTCAAAGATTACTATTGAGAACATATAAAGAACTCAAAAAAGTCAGACCTCCCAAAACTTAAAAGCCTCAATCCAAAAATGTGCATATGAGATGAATACACACTTCTCAGACATATGAACATGTATACATATAAACAATAAATATATGACAAAATGTTGAACATCACTGGTCATTTGAGAGATGCAAATTAAAACAACACTGAGATCTCACCTCATCCAAGAAAAAATGGCTATTATCAAGAAACTGGCCAGTAACAAATGCTGGTGAGGCTGTGGTGGAAAAGGAACCCTTCTCCACGATTGGTGGGAGTGTAGACTGGTGCAACCACTGTAGAAATTAGAGTGGAGATTTCTTTAAAAACTAGGAGTAGAGCTTCCATTTGACCCAACAATTCCCCTCCTGGGTATCTTCCCAAAAGAATTAAAAGCTTCTTACCACAACAATATATAAATAATTACATTTATAGCAGCAATGTTTGTAATGGCCAAATCTTGGAAACAATCCAAGTGCCCATTGACTGAAGAATAGTTAAAAAAGATGTGGTATTTTTATACAATGATGTGCTCATCAGCCATAAAAAAGGATGAACTGGAAACTTTTCTGGGTAAATGGATGCAACTTGAGTCTATACTCTTAAGTGAAATAAATCAGACACATGATGTCTGGTAATGTGTAAACACTGAATTATTTCTCTGATGTGAGAAACTAAAGTATAAATAAGGACCAAAATGCATAGTAGGTATTGTAAAATAGGAAGAAATGTTCAAATGTGAAAGAGACCAAGAGAAAGGGGATAGTAAGGGAAAGAAAAGCAAAAAAAAAAATTTAGAGATGACAACAAATCTTTGTAAAGGTGAGGAAGAGAGGTTGAAACGAGGGTAGGGGAAAGGGGAAAAACAAGCAATATCATGTACAGTTACAAATCCTATATGATGAATGTAATCATTATGTGTATCTAAAATGTACTAATAAAATCTAATTTTAAAAATATATCAAATAATTGTTAACAAATCATTTTCTGTGGTAGAAAGAAAACAATATTTGTTAAAACATGAGAAAAATATGATTGTGAATGAATTTTAAAGATAATCATTATGTGTAAATTCTCTTCATGATTCTTGTGAGCATCATGATTTTTATTAACCATTTAATGCTGAAGACTACTATGTCTACATTAGCTATATTTGCCCCAGAGTCCTAGTTCTTTTTTCCACAGTTCAAATTCTATCATTGACTATTACCTTAACATTTGAAGGCTACAGATATTAACTTTTAAAAACTATTTCATCATTCTAGGAACATTCCAGGAAGAGGAATCTTATATTCCTCTTCCCCAACAATACTCATTCCCCCATCTCATCTTGATCAACTAATCACATTTAATTTATTTTTAAAACAGAAGCTTGATTTCAAAGGATGAGGTGTGCACTGCTATGCTCTATTGGTCAGCTTATAGAGGAAATCCTCTTTAATAGAGGAAATCTGGTTTAAATCTTGTTTCTATTGTTTAAAACCTGGGCAAATGACTGAATGTGTTTTTATTTAGTTTTATCTTTAGTAAAATGGAGATAACAATGATGTCTACACACAGGTTATTACAATAATGAAATACAAAGTGAATATGAAGCATAACTTCAGCATATAGTAGCACCCTATAAATACATGCAGTGGTAAGGATAATCCTGGACAATGTCAAAACTGTCCAAAGGAAAAAAAGATGTGTACATGTGTTTACTCAACACTATCAATTCTAGCAATGTGCCCTAAGGCAAGAAGAAGTTGAATGTCTGAAGGTGTTGCAGTACTGGTCATAACAGTAAAGAATCAGAAACAACCAGGAGAAGAGGTTAATGAAATAAATTAAGCTACCTCTACGAAGTGGAAAACTATGCTGAGAAAATAGTAGGAGTTATAAATATCATCTTTGAATGTAAATTTCAATGAGCTGAAGAATCTCTCTTAGCATATCTTCAATTCTTTTCAGAGCTTTCTTGCTTTCCACTTGCATTGGGTAGCTATTGCTATATAAAAACCATATGATCTAAGTAGCATATGTTACAGTGTGTGTCTAGATGTTCCCCCAAAGCCTCATGCAGTCATGGAGGCAAGCTTTTTGGAGGGAGCTGAATCTAGTTTATGATTAATTCATTACGTAGAGCTGGATTATGGATGTGAGTGCTGCCCCACCCTATGCTATGTAGCCTACATGTAATACAAGGGACAGAAAGAGTCTTCTCTAGCACTCCTCCCTTTTTGCTCTTGTTGCTTTTGCAGTCTTCCATCTCCATGAACTGCTATTCTTCTGCCATACCACCTTGCCTTAGACCCAGCAGATTATGCACTGAAACCTCCACAAATTGTGAGCAAAAAAAAGACTTTCATTCCTTAATTTTAGGCATTGGGTCTCAGTGATGAGAGAAAAGTAATCAAGACAGCATACAAGTATTTTTCAGCAGTTTCCAGGGCAGCTGAGTCAGCTATGCTTTAGGCTATGATGGCTGACTGTTTCCTAGATGGATAACTAGCCGGAGAATGTTATCATTACAATCTTAGATGTGCAAAAGTGTAAGAGATAATATGAGGAGCTTTCTATAGCTAGTTTTAAATTCAAAATTAGCACAGTTTTGTTTTCATTCATGTTTTATTAGCCAATAGACATCACATGGATGAGTTCCTGAAAGAGTTAGTTACCCTTTGCTTTCCCAGATATTGTGAAGTCAGTGTAAATTCAAAGCCATTAGAGCCAGTCGTTAGCTCTACAATGTTATTTACCAGTGTTCACTCTGACAGAGAAATAGCTACCTAAGATCCTTTGGGTTACTGAGCTCACTTGACTTTCCATTTAGCTGCCTTTCTTGACAGAATACCTAAAAGCTTCTTTAAATCTTTAAAACTATGCCTCAAGATAATACTGGCTTTGGTGACAGGGGACTTTCCTCTTGTAGTCTGAAACTCACATCCACTCATAGATAAGAGTAACTTTTCTTCACTACAGTCTATATATTTGTGATAGCTTGGACCCTGGAATAAAACCCAAGGAAGCAAGAAATTAAAATTTGGGGAGCAAAGGCTTTATTTTAGCTCAGGCCTGGCGTCACAGTCTCCAGGAGCCAATTTGGAGACTGCTCACCTCACAGCTAAAGGCAGTGACTTATAAAGCAAAAAACCACAGGAATCCTATGGCTATTGACACAATTAGATTGCAGCTGGCAGCTGGACCTTCCAGAACTCTCTGTAATGTCTTAAGGTTAATCATTTCTTTAAAGAACGGCACATTTAAAACTGATAGCCGGAGGAGGGGTAGGGGAGGGGGTTACAGGAAACTGACACCTAAGGCTTTTACAACCTTTTCAGGAAATTGAAACTTAACCTAGAAAGATAGGAAGGGAAGGGGAGGGGGAGGCAGTAAGACGCATACAGAACAGAAAATGAGGCGCAATGGTTAAAACTAGGTTACAACAATATTAAACATTTAATTTCCTTGGATTTAGCCTAAACAAGGACTACAAGTTCATAATATCTTTCAGGAAAATGGCTTTTATCTTTTATGTGTGTATGTACTTATACTTTATGTATATCTGTCTTCCTCGGAGGAACAGAGGATGGTTTTTGCTGGGAAGGGCTCAAGTTCAGATACTTCAGCAGCTTCAGACACGCAGATGTAGAGTTTTCAGGGTTCAGATGATCAAGCATTGACCAGACTTTGAATCAATTGTAAAAGTGGAATTTTTCCATATCTTGGCCCTAAGAAACAGACAAAATAAAGGGAAAATATAATGAGAATAGGATGTCATAAAAATTTAGTCCTTCCCTCTAGACTTTCAAAAGTCATAATCCAAAAACCAGAGCTTCACAAAGAGAGTGGTGCAATAAGGGGATATGAGAATGGAAAAAATAGGTTTTGAAAATTAGGGACATATTTCCTAGGAAAGATACATGATGAATGTGGTCAAAAGAATCAACTTCCTTCCTCTTTTCTAATCATTGCCCTGGGGTCTCATCACAACCTCTTTTACACTACAGGTTTTATGCTTTCACCAGCTTGGAGGGAACATGTGGCTTTTGACAGCTCTTCTCCTTTGGGGTAAGTTGAACTCAGGGAAGTGGTTAGAAGGAGACAAGCTTCACCAATGAGGAGTTAAGATTTTTGTTTGTTTGTTTTCCTTTGATATATTATAATAGAAATCATGAGCATGGAGGCAACTGTATCTGGGCTTTGATGGTTCATTTTTTGGGTGCTTACTACATTAAAAGAATGTAAAGAGGAATCCAGAGTCAGTACCACATCTGAAAATCTCATATTAAAATAAAGCCTAATTGTGGGTAGGGTGCAGCTATGGTGGTAGAGCACTTGTTTGGAATGTTCCAGTCCCTGGGTTTTTCCCTAGGGAAAAAAGTAAATCAATGCCCATCTGTTCAGCTGATACTTGCTTTTGAGAAAGAGGGATAGAGAATCTCAAGAGACCTAAGATATCCTTCTGAGTCTACATCAATCTCTATTCCTAACTTGCCTTTTGTTATTATTTCCTACTGACAAACTAATGTTCCTATTCTCTGGTCTCTTGCAGTTCCAGTTGGTGTGTAAGTGGGTGAGTGACATTCAGCCCAACTTGAAAAAGTTGAAAGGAGAGTAGGGGAATGGGGAAAAACAAGCAATATCATGTACAGTTACAAATTATATATGATGAATGTAATTATTAAGTATATCTAAAATGTACCAATAAAATCTAATTTTAAAGCATATCAAATAATTGTTAACATCATTTTCTGTGGTCGAAAAAGAACAATATTTGTCAAAACAATTGAGAAAATTATGATTGTGAATCAATTTTAAAGATCATCATTGTGAGTAAATTCTCTTCATGATTCTTGTCAGCACCATGATTTTTACTGACCATTTAATGCTGAACATTACTGTGTCTACATTAGCTGTATTTGCCCCCAGAGTCCTAGTTTTTTTCCCACAATTCAAATTGTATCATTAACTAATACCTTAACATTTCGAGGCTACAGATATTTACTTTAAAAAATTATTTCATCCTTCCAGGTTATAAATCTTATATTCCTCTTCCCCAACAATACTCATTCCCCCGTCTCATCCTGATCAATTAATTGCTTTTACTTTATTTTCAAATCAGCAGCTAGAATTTCAAAGGATGAAGTGGGCACTGCTATACTCTGTTGGTCAGCTTATAAAACCAGATACCTGGCTTTGAATCTGGCTTCTAATTTTTATAAACCTGGGCAAATGACTAAATGCCTCTTTACTTAGTTTTATCATTTGTAAAATGGAGATAACAATGATGTCTACTCAAAGCTTATTATAAGAATGAAATGCAAAATGAATATGAATCACAACTTCAGCGTATAGTAGCACCCTATAAATACATGCAGTGGTGAGAATAATGGTGGACAATGCCAACACTATGCAAAGGTAAAAAACATGTGTACATGTGTTTACTCACCACTATCAATTCTAGCAATGAGCCCTGAGGAAAGAGTAAGTTGAATGTTGAAAGGTATTGCAGTGCTGGTCATAACAGTAGAGAATCAGAAACAACCAGAAGGAGAGGTTTAATGAAATAAATTAAGGTACCTCCATAAAGTGGAAAACTATACTGAGAAAATAGTAGGAGTTATAAATATCATCTTTTAATGTAAATTTCAGTGAGCTGAGCCATCTCTCTAGCACATCTTCAACTCTTTCCAGAGCTTCCTTGCTTTCTACTTGTATTGAGTAGCTATTGCTGTATAAAAACCTTATAATCTCAGTGGCATATGTTATGGTTTGTGTCTAGATGTCCCCGCAAAGCCTCATGCAGTGATGGAGGAAAGATTTTGGAGGCAGCTGAATCTAGTTTATGACTAATTCATTGTCTAGTGCTGGGATTATGGATGTGAGTGCTGCATCCACTCTATGATGCGTAGCTTACATACGATATAAGACACAGAAAGAGTCTTCTCTAGCACTCCTCCTTTTTGCTCTTCTTGTTTTTTGCTGTCTTCCATCTCCCAGAACTGTTGCTTCTCTGCCACATCACCCCACCTTAGATGCAGCAGATTATGGACTAAAACCTGCATGAATTGTGAGCTAAATAAACTTTTCATTTCTTAATTTTAGGCATTGGGTATTTTGTATCAGTGATGAAAGAAAGTAACCAGGACAGCATACAAATATTTTTCACCAGTTTCCAGGGCAGCTGATTCAGCTGTGCTTCAGGCTATGATGGTTGATAGTTTGAATGTTATCATTATAATCTTAGAATTGCAAAAGGGTAAGAGATAATAAGAGGAGACTACTACAACTAGTTCTAAATTCAAAATTAGCACAGTGGTGTTTCCATTCACGTTTTATTAGCCAATAAACATCACATGGAACTCATGTTCCTGAAAGAGTTAGTTATCCTTTGCTTCTAAAGATATCATGTGGTCAGTGTACATTCAAAGCAATTAGAGCTAGTAAGTAGCTCTACAATTTTACTTATCAGTGTTCACTCACTGCCAGGGAACATGCGACCTAAGGTCCTTAGGGTTCCTGAGTTCATCCTAGTTTCTGTTTAGCTCTCTTAACAGAATACCTAAAAGCTTCTTTATATCTTTAAAACTATGCCTCAGGAACACACTGGCATTGGTGATAGGAGACTTTCCTCCTGTAGTCTGACACCCACATCCGCTCATAGGTGATATGAGTAATTTTTCTTCACTACAGTAGCATATACATTAAACATTTAATTTTCTTGGATTTAACCTAAGCAAGTTCTACAAGTTCATAATGTCTTTCAGGAAGATGGCTTTTTATCTTTTATGTATGTATGTACTTATACTTTATGTATACCTGTATTCCTCAGAGGAACAGAGGCTGGTTTTGCTGGGAAGCTCTCAAGTTCAGTAACTCTTCAGAAGCTTCAAAGAGGCTGAGGTAGAGTTTTCAGGGTTTAGATTATCAAGCATTGACCAGATTTTGTACCAATCGTAAAAGTGGAATTTTTGTCATACTCAGGACCTAAGAAACAGACCAAATAAAGGGAAAATATAATCAGAACAGAATGTCATAAAAATTTAGTCCTTCTCTCTGGACTTTCAAAAGTCATAACCCAAAAACCAGAGCTTCACAAAGAGAGTGGTGCACTAAGGGAATATGAGAATAAAAAAAACATGCTTTGAAAATTAAGGGCATATTTCCCAGGAAAGATACATGATGAATGTGGTCAAAAGAATCAACTTCCTTCCTCTTTTCTAATCATTGCCGTGGGGCCTCATCAGAACCTCTTTCACACTACAGTTTTTACTGCTTTCACCAGCTTGGAGGGAAGATGTGGCTTTTGACAGCTCTTCTCCTTTGGGGTAAGTTGAACTCAGGAAAGTGGTTAGAAGGAGACAAGCTTCACCAATGAGGAATTAAGATTTTTTGTTTGTTTGTTTTTCTTTGATATATTATAATAGAAATCATGAGCATGGAGGCAACTGTATCTGGGCTTTGATCGTATATTTTTTGTTGTTGTTGCCTACTACATTTAAAAAAATGTAAAGGGGAATCCAGAGTTAACATCACATCTGAAAATCTCATATTAAAATAAAGCCTAATTGTGGGTAGGGTGCAGCTATGGTGGTAGAGCACTTGTTTAGAATGTTCCAGTCCCTGGGCTTTTCCCTAGTGAAAAAAGTAAATCAATGCCCATCAGTTCAGCTGATACTTGCTTTTGAGAAAAAGGGATAGAGAATCTCAAGAGTCCTAAGGTATCCTTCTGAGTCTACATCATTCTCTATTCCCAACTTGCCTTTTGTCATTATTTCCTACTGACAAACTGATGTTTCTATTTTCTGGTCTCTTGCAGTTCCAGTTGGTGGACAAGTGGGTGAGTGACCTCCAGCCCAACTTCACTTATACCACTTTTCTACTCCCAAAGAATGAGTGCCAGGGACCTCAGGAAGACGGTTTAGGGAGAGGATAGATATGAGAAAGACTTGGAAATTATGTAGAATCCTCCCACATTCAGAGTCTGGCTTTTATAGAATCCTGATTTTTAAGTTTTGATAAGTTATCTAAGGTTTTCTGAATCACTCCTGACTGCTCAACTCAACTCTGTATATACAACAACAGAGATTAGCCACACCTGCAGAAATGCAGAAGTAGCTCTGCTGGGTTTTCCAACACCCCCTAGACTAGTGCCCTCTGCAGGAGAGCCACATTGGTTTTTTCTCTGCAGAGAAAGCCAGAACGTCATAGTGATATCTTCAAAGGGAGGCATTTCTGATGCAAAAGCCTCTGAGGGTCTATGTTTTACCCTTAGAGATAACACAGCATCAAGGACAAGGAAACTGGTTCCAGTCAGTTGTCCCATCCTAATATGCTGCTGATACCTTACCAACAGGGAGAACCATGTCAGCAACCCAATGTTCCTCCTTAAGAACCCAATAGTCTCAGCCCTGAGATTAAGATTTGATAGCATAAACAAAGCTCTCTGAAATGGAGCTTACATGCTCTTAAAGATGTAAATTGTCACTTGCCTATTTTTTCAAATTAATCTAAGTGCATTTTTTCCTTGTGTTTTCCATGAAACTTTACTAATCACTCAGAGCCTTCCTTTCACTCCACGTGTTAATTATTTGTTTCTTGTTTTTATTTCTGTTTTATACACAAGCAGACTTCACAAAGGCAGTGATCATCCTGCAGCCTCCGTGGGTCAATGTTTTCCGAGAAGAAAATGTAGCCTTGTGCTGTGAGGGACCCCAGCTGCCTGGGCACAGCTCCGTACAGTGGCTCCTCAATGGCAGAACCATTCAGACCTCAACTGCCAGACACACCATCACTGCAGCAACTTTCAGTGACAGTGGTGAATACACGTGCCAGACAGGGCTCTCAGCACCAAGTGATCCTGTACAACTGGAAATCCACGCAGGTGAATATGGCATGACTAGAAATCAAAGTCTTCTTTTATGGATGTCAGATGTGTGTTTGTGTAGATGTGTGTATGTGTGAGTACAATGCTCAGCTCTAATAGACAGAGACACAATGCTCTACAAGGTGAAAGTAAGTCAATATACTCCAAACATTACACAAAGGTCCCCCCATTGTGGGCCGCCAGTGAAGATAGTAACTGGAGAAAAACTCAGACATGAGGATTTTATCATTATTTAAATTTATGCCAGGGTATGTTAAATTATAATTCAGACAAATGTATAAGGATGAACAATGAAGTCTCTCTACCATTCCATAACCCTACTCCTGAAGCTGCCTTCCACAGAAGCAAAACTCTTAATATTTATTAGCTGTAAAGAACTCTATGGTTGATAGAATATGGTACATCTTATGTCTTTTGTCATATGAAAAGAAAATCTCTTTATACTAATACACATTTCCTTTTAAGAGTTTGCTGTATAACTATATAGTGATTAAATTAACCATTCTTCTTGTTAGTAAATATCTAAGGTGTTTCGATTTTCCTACTTTTAAAAGTAATACTGCCATAAAAATGTGATACATATAGTCTTTACAATTCTAATAACATTTTAAACATGGAGTTATATGTGACTAATGAATAGAAATAGAAAAACAAATTCATCACCCTCTTAAATCTGTAATTCATTTTACTTGTCAAGAGATGGAGACACAATATTCTTAGGGCAAAATATTTTATTATTCTGGACAATATTTTAGATAGTTACAATTATTTAGTTAGTTAAAAGCAAGGAGCTCAAATGTCTTTGTAACTGATGATATGAGAGGTACTACATGTTAGAGGCAGAATTGCATTAATGCAAACTCTGTTGCTTTTAGAGCAAATGAGGTTTAGCTAAGGAAATGTTAAGAATGTCCAGGGAAGAGGAGATGTTCTTCGTGTCCATTAGGACTTTGAAAATAAGTTCTTAGTAATGCGAATGAGGAAAAGATGAGGATAGCTAATACAACTGTCCCAATAAGAAATGTTGTTTATTTTGGGCGGAAGTATTCCATGGGTCAAATGACAAAAATATAGTGTATGGCTGGGAAGAGCCCATTTTTTTCTTTGTATAAACTATAAAGTGCATGTAACAAACTTTAAATGTGCACCTCAGTAAATTTCACCATATAAACAGTGCCTAACTAGAGAAACACAATCTCTCCAGGACCCCAGAGACTTCTAATCCATTTCTAGTCACCATTCCCACCACAAGTTTTGTCTCTTTTTGAACTTCATATAATGGCACAGTATGGTATAGGAGGTACTCTTTTGAGTCTGGCCCCTGTATCTCTACATTACAATTGCAAATTTTATTAGCTAGAAGTTAATCGCTTTCATTACTCATAGTAGTATGTATTTTCTACTTCTACTGATGGACTTAGATTGTTTCCAATTTGGGCCTCTTACAAATAGTACTATTATGGTCTTTTTTCACATGTTGCTTTGTTGTAGAGAAGTAACTCTGAACCTGTTAGATGTGTCAAGGTTGTGTCTCAAGATGCAAAAGAGTGGAGTTGATGACAAAGGAGCTTAAGAGGATAAAAAGTCTTATTAAGTGAAACCCCTGAGAGGGAGGATGGGACCTAAAAGTGGGTTGCTGCTAAGGTTCTTTGTCTACTGAGTTTTTATGCAGTAAAATCACAGCATAATTTATCTTGGGTTAACCTTCAACTTACAGGATTACAAGTACAGTTACTTAACTAATACTGATTTAATAGGAAAACAAAATACAGTGAATACCTATAATCCTGGCACTTGAGAGGCTGAAGCATGAGAATTCTCTAGAGTTTGAGGCCAGCCTGGGTTACATAGTGGGTACAAGGCCAGCCTAAACTACACAGTAAGACTCTGTCTGAAAAAATAAAAAAAAGAAAAGACAAGAAAAAGGAAAACAAGGTATGTAGCAAGGGTACATAGCACAGAGAAGAGAAAAGCATTTCTAGAAGGGATGAGAGTGAGGACCAGAGTGTTCTGCTCACCTACAGACATTTTTCTTAGGTTGTTTTTATGTGTTTGTTATATTTCTTAGGCTTATTGGCACAGATGGTACTAGTTACAGTGTATCTTTAAGCTGTTATTTATCTCTGAGGAGGCTTGCAGGCCTAGCCACTATGTCTCAATCTTGGGGCCTAGTTTCCATCAACTCAGCCTTAAGTATGGGCCTGGTTTATCTCATCTCTGCTTTGATTTTATCTTAGGCCTGGTCTTCTTCTTTTTAACTGCCTATGAACTTCTATCTAATTTAGCTATCTGTATTATATCTTAACTCTGTAATATTTCACCCTCTGAAGAGCTATCTCCAGCTGCCATTAGGGGAAATGAGTGAAGACAGTTTAGGATTTTGTTGTTGTTGTTGTTGAAAGGGGCTGCTGTTTTGATTGGCAGTCAGAATCACTCTCAGGGGCCTGTCTAGAGGCCCTCCACAGGCATCAGGCGTGGTAGAAAGCAGGTGGATACCTGAAAACCTAGAAGAAACAAAACCATGAAGGCAGGTAAGGACACAGGATCCAAATAAGATTAAGAAAAGAGTCACTGTTTTACCACCAAGAGCTTGTATCAGTCAGAGCCAGTAAGGACCTTTTTTACAGAGGATATAAACACGGCTTCTGGAATGGACATAGCATTAACTTACTGGAGGTGATGGAGACCCATAGAGACATTAGATGAAGAGTCAAGAATGTATTATATATGAATGATTTGGCTTTTAAAATTGCACAAGTATAGCCTTGTATTTTCCTTAAAATGTCTAGGACCATCCAGTTTTTTAGGGCCCTGCCTCACTAATTGCACTGTTCTAGTGTCCTTTAAGGCCCTTTGGGTATAGTTAGTAACTTTATATGGTGCATGACAGCTTTTAGTCCCAGGGAAGGAACAATGATAGCCAAATGATCATGCTGGTGAAATACATTTTGAGATCACTGATGTTAGACAGGGGTAAGTCAGTGTGTTTAACTCATCTGTTTTAGAACCAGGCATTTTTTAAAGAGCATCTCCCCATCTGTCTTAGAGGTAATGAAAAGATGTCACTGAGAGTACACTATCTAATTTTATCCGCATTGTTACTGGGTGTGTATACTGATCATGTGGATTTTGTTTCATATATTTAATGACATTGGGCCAAAGTGAGTAAAAGTGATTTTTGTGTTCTTAATATAAGGAGACCTTTGGACAAAGGCATATTGTGCTGGGAGTCAAATACACGTTGTCATCCCACGCCAAGAAGTATCTATCCTGATATCTGTGGCTATTAGATCTAACAATGGGTCTTGGGACTTTGTACTGAGTTAGGAGAGGCTCTCCTATTGCCAGTAGTAGGCTTCAGTGGTATTGTTGGGGAAAGCAAATTATGTCATGGACCATAAAGTGTAAAATGTCTAGGCCATTTTGTCATCTGGTAATGGTGAGCTATTTTATGAGTTAATGAGGTTTTTTGTAAAAATTTTGTAGTTTGTTTCAATCCTTTCCTAGAGAAGAAGATATCTACCAGGGAAGACCTGAGGTATTTGACAAGAGAAGTAGGCTGCCATCTCAGCAGGATTTTTGCTTATATGATTTTCTATATTTTTATTGAGCCCATATTAAAAAGAAATTCGATTTTAAATGTCTTTTTTTGTTTTTTGCTTTTTTGTCTTTTTCGTTTTTATCGGTACCAGGGATCGAACTCACGACTGCCTGCTTGCAAGGCAGGTGCTTATGCCGCTGAGCTAAATTCCCAGCCCCTGATTTTACATGTTTTTATTGCTGGTTTTATTTTTCCTGAAAATATTCACTCTGCACAGAGGAGAGGGGCTCAGTGCTTGCGGCTGCTTTCCCCATGGCAGCCAGCATGCTGCTCAGCTCCTTGCATTTCCTCTTAGCATGGATGTGCATCCCCAATTTCTTGACAAACTGGAGGGCCTGCCTGTCTTTGGAGGCCTTGAGCAGCTCCATGGTGCACACACCTCCCAGATCACGTCCCCCAGAGGCTTCATGTGCTTGGTGAGGCACCAGCGGCAGCAGCTATACCTTGGTAAACAGCAGCTATACCTCACACTTTCCACCTTGTGGCCAGTGTTGAGGCCCGCGGTCATGGGATAGTGCAGAGGCATGGCTGGTGCTCTTCACTGACTGCCTGATACCCCCCATTTTAAAAAAACTTTTTATTTTTAACAGAATAAAACAGAATAAATCCAGTCAAAACAAAACATTGAAAATGAAACAAGAATCCCAAACAGTGAAAATGATGGAAGACTTCAAAACAAGATAATAGGAAATCAACACTGGCTGCCATAATGCCTCTTGTTATCTTCAAAACAGCTGTCCATACCATCAGACTTATTAAAATTATTGATATTCCCCTTTTAGGCTGTATACGAATAACTGTGAGGAAAGAAAAAGGTATTGGAACACTTTATTTTGGGCGCATGGGTAAAATCAAGTTGCCAGTATTTGCAGGACATTTGCCAAGTCTCTGTGCTGCTGGAAGCACTATGGTTTGGTTAACAGAATTATTTTTTGGCACAGTTACATATCTTAATCTTTGCTTGGTGGAAACAGATTGTTTTTTTGGAAATAATTTTGCCATTTGAAGAGTTTTATCTCTTCTCAAGAGATAAAACTGTTTGGTGTAAAGGTTTACCAGCCTTTCATTGATTGGCAGCTGGGAGAACTTGCCATCATCAGACTGTAACCACTCTGATGGAAGGAATTGGCACTCCCCTACCCCAGGAAATAGCCCCTTTAATTTCTGAATGAGAGTAGGTTGGATTTTGATCTAAGGGCCTTTCCCAGATCATGGGAGCTTAAAGGAAGAGCCTTGGGCACCCTTTCTTCAGGTGCATTTACTCATCAATTACCCTGTGACACCTTGTCAAGTCAGCAAGATGTCAAGGAGCTGAGTTCGAGCCAGCAGGAGACATGCAGAGTGCAGAGTTACAGGCTGAAAAAATCAGGTTCCACCTTACACACAGAAACCAGCCTTACCTTCACTGTAACTAAAGGTTTAGTAGCAATATCCACTAACCCACCAAAAATTTATCACCGTGTTTCTGGGATTAATCAACATGATGTGGGCTGTTTGCCCACTTTGTTTACCAGTAACAGCAGAGACACACCCTACAGTGGAAATTTTTTTCTTTCCTTATTTTTTGTTTTTGTTTTGTTTTGTTTTCATGATTGTTCTTGTTTTTATATGAGTGTGAATATTGTTTGTAGCTTTCTTGTTGTTGTTCTTGTTTTTATTTCTTCCATCTCTTTTTTCCTCTGGTCTTCTTCATCAGTTTCTGAAAGTCCATGTAATCTTCCTTTGTCCTCCAACCTTGCTTCCAATCTTGTCCTCTTCTTCTATTTATGTATCTTTTTCTTCCTAACCTCTTTTAAATTTTCTCCTTAAGGGTAAAAGTTCCATATTGAGGCCATGTGTAGTGTGCACAATTTTCTGGTTTCTTTTAGATTTTGTTATATAACCACAAATATACTTCACACAGTTAAATGTGGAAAATTAATAGCTACCACAATTCAGTGAACCTTTGACTTATAAACTCAGTTTGTTTCTGAAGGCTGATTATATCTCACGTTGTCAACTGAAGGCTCAGGCTCCTCTACACAGCCTTCAAAATCTCTTCCCTGTACACAGGCAGATGTCAGTCTCCTTAAAAAGACATTGGCCCACAATTTATCAATTAACCCCACATAGGAAAAGATGTTATAGTGTTCTTTCCAAAAATCTTTAAGGGTTAACTCCATATTTGAGACCAGCTGGAAGCACAAGTGGTCAGCCTTCAGGTCATAACTGAAGACTTTGGTAATATGTTACCACTAAAATTCTGATAATAACACAAGTTGTTCATATGTCAGGCTAGTTGTAATTCAATGGTCTATTGTATGTCATTTTCTAGGATGTGCTTGAGGCTGTCATTGCTGATTGTACTCCTTTAGCAAAGGTGACATAATTGTTTTAATCAGTTATTCTTCCAGGTATGCCAACACTGAGATTACCTCAAGGTCATAAAAAATATAATAAGGCAATGCCAAAGAACCAAGACCCAGGCCACATAGGTAGCAACTTCTCATCCTCAATAAACTGAAGGAAGCCGGCATTGTACTAAATGGACAAAAACTGAAAGCTTTCACTCTAAAATGAGGAGCAAGACAAAGATGCTCAGTGTTTCCACTCTTACTCAACAATATGGCTCAGGAAACATTAGCCAGAGCATTTTGACAAAAGAAATAGAAGTAATAAAGGTAGGAAAGAAAACAGTTAAATTATCATTATTTGAAGGTGACATAATACTCTACATAGAAAATCCCAAAAGCGCCACAAAAAGACCTCTAGGTTTATTAACCAAATTCAGTAGTGTAGCTGAATATAAACACAACAGTCAAAAATTAATAGCAGTCCAGTACACAAATAGCATTCTCATTGAGAGAAATTAGTGAAGCAATACCTACACATAGGAATCAATCTAATAAAGATATTTACACTGAAAACTACAGTACTCTGAAAAGGGAGACTTAGAGGATATCAGAAAATGGAAAGATATCCATTGCTCATGAGTGGGAAGGAAAGACTCATGGAAAAAAGGGAAATAAAGCTTTTGTAAATAAAAAGGGGAAGAAGGATTGAAGAGAGGGGAGGGGAATTGGGAAAAAAAGAAAGATGTGCCATGTACACGTACAACTTCCTTATGATGAATGTTATCATTATGTATATCCAAATTTTAGCAATAAAATGGAAACTATAATTGGCCTATAGGATTACAGTATAACTGCTAAACTAATACTCAACCAACAGAGAAGCCAGTCACATACAAGGGTACATGGGAAGGACAAAGGCATTTTGGGGAATGAGACTGGATACTCTTGTCATCCACCTGAGTGACTGAGTCCAGATGTTCCAGTCACCCATCTGAGGGACTGAGGTCAATCTGCACTTTACTTGAGCAGATGATACCAATCATAGTACAATAGTACAGTTTCAAGTTACTATTTAACCCTCAGGAAAGCATGTAGACCTTGTCATTGCATCTTTAGTTGTGACACATCCTCATCGTCTGCACTGACTCCTTCAGGTGTCTAGTCCTGTCTCACTGCATATTAATGTGTGTCTAACTTAGCTTCCTATAACACTGCTAGATAGAGCAAAGCTTTGGGCCTTTGTTGTTCATCTCTGTGGAAGCTTGTAGGCCTCATGATCATGTATCCATCTTGGGACCAAGTTTCTATCCATTTAACCCTTAACTACAGGGTTGATTTATCTCCTCTCTGTTCTTACTCTATCTTGGGCCTGACTCCTTTTGAGCTGCCTATCAACTTCTATCTAATTTCCTATCTGTAATACTTTGTTGTACATACATGCCTATCACTGGAAAATTCCTAAGAGTGAAATTACTATGTCACAAAATAAGTATATTTCAGCTTTCAGAGAGACTGCTAAATAGATTTTCAGAGCTGTTTTACCAATGCATAATTTATCATTTTATACAGAGGATAAGAGTTTTAGTTCCTTTCATGCTCACCCAAATTAAATGTTTTAACTAATTTGCCATTGTAGTAGATGTATAGTAATAACACATTGTAGTTTTAATTTGTGTTTCCTTAATGACGATAATATCAACAGTTTTCACATGTCTATTATGTATTTGAATATTCTTTTATAAAGTATCTGGGCAGATCTTTTGACAATTTTTCTATTAGCTATCTTTTTCTTACTGACTTATAGAGGTAATTTGTATATCTGGAATGAGTCTTTTTCAAGCACTGCACATACACTCCCATACTCTGTGGCTTGCCTTTTCACTAGGGCAGTATCAAAGACTCTAAAAATTGCTCAATGTGTAGAACTGGAATACCTGCCTTTCACTTTAGATATGTTCTGAAGGGAGAAAAACCCTACTGTATATTCTCCACCTTGTGTCTCTGAAAGCCTAATCTTAATTTATCTAAATGAACAGCCACAGGGGAAAAAAACTAGGGGAAGCTTTTATGGTTATGTACAGAGGTGTATATTGAGGGAGAGCATTTGACCTGACATTTGTTTTGGCTGATGATATTGTGTGTGGGTATTCCTACCAATTTTGTAGCTCACAGACATCTGGATATAATTGCTATTTTGTCTTAAAATATGTCACCCTATTAACAAATTTTTCAGAAGTTAGGAATACATTTGGTTTTTCATTTTAGTGTAACAAATTATCAGGGACTTAAAAATTTAAAACAACACATTTATTATCTACTGGTTTCATGGATCGGGATTACAGCATGCTCCACTTAGAGTCTCTCAAAGACTCCAAGCAGGGTGTTGACAGCACTGTGCTCCTTTTTGGCATTCTTCCAGGGTCATCAGTGGAGTTTATGTCCTTGTCATTATGGACCTGATGTCCTCCTTTCTTGTCAATTGGGAACTCCATTGTTTTCATATATTTTGGGGTCTGTGTTTTTTCAGCTTGGCTGCTGCTTCAGCCTTCCAAGAGAGTCCTTACTGAAGGAGAACCTTTGACACTGAGGTGTCATGGATGGAAGAATAAGCTGGTATACAATGTGGTTTTCTATCAAAACAGAAAGCCTATTCAGTATTCTTATCAAGATTCTGCACTCACTATTCTGAAAGCCAACATGAATCACAGTGGTGTCTACCACTGCTCAGGCAAAGGAAGATTACCTGCCCCCTTCACATCAAGAGGCGTACCTGTGATAGTGAAAGGTATTGTATCTAAATAGTTATAGAGCTGTAGTTGTAAAGATCCAAAGGACCAGCATAAATCATCTAAACCCTCATTTCAATTCATAAGAGATAAACTGCTTTAGTGAATTGGTCTCATCCGTTGCTCTTTCCAGTATACCATGTCGTATCAATAATCACAGGAGCTAAACTCAAAGTCAGGACATAATGAAGACCCATTTTATCAATGCGATTTTCATTTGCAAACAAGAGAGACTCCTTCAAGAGTCTCTCTTCAGTCTACTCCTTCAAGGTCTCTAAAAGAGTTACTAGAGAGCCCAGTAGAATTTCATGAATGCTGCATGGAAGTGGAAAACATTAGGAGCTGGTTTCATCCGTCTCTCAAGGACAGTACAGCCTTTCTGGTCCTACTTCTTTCTAAACATCTGCAAACTAAGCACCTTCCCCTGTCTGAGTTTACATGTAGCTCTTGCTCTGACCATTTCATGATCTTTCTTGTTAACACCCACAGTCCCCTGTGACATTTTTCCATTCAAAAAAAAATTCATTCCTGTGGGAACGAAATTACTATCTCGGATTATTGTTTAAAAGAGGAGCACAAGTAGGGAATCACTGAACTGGCAAGGATGTGAGCTAGTGCCTACTCTGAGCAGATCATTACCAAGGGGGTGCAGTTATATAATAACATGGCCATTAGGGAAGATTGGGCCATATAAAGGAATTCTCCTCTATGGATGCAAGCAAGCTGGTAGCCTCAATTATGTCTGTTAGGAAACCCCCATAGTGACTCTCTTGTAAGTGGAAAAAATTCAGCTTATGGATGCAATTTCTTTGGGACAAGTTTCCAAGGTGGGAGAGGGTATGACTCTTATGAAAGAACCTTGATGCTGAAGGAGACAACTCTGTCCCCTATCAACTTTCTCTTCAGAGTTGTTTCCAGCTCCAGTGCTAACCTCATCCTTTGGCAGAGGATCCCCACTTCGGCATAGGAAAATAGTCAAGCTGAGCTGTGAGACAAAGTTGCTCCCACAGAGGTCTGGCGTGCAGCTGTACTTCTCCTTCCACATGGGCAACATGACGCTGAGGGGCAGGAATACATCCTCTGAGTACCACATTCTAACTGCTAGAACAAATGGTTCTGGGTCCTACTGGTGTGAGGCAGCCACAGAAGATGGAAATGTCCTTAAACGCAGCCCTGTATTGGAGCTACAAGTGCCTGGTGAGTGAGGATTGGAAGCCACTGGCAAAGGAGAAGGGGACATTTGCTACCATGGAGCTGAGGCTTGTTTAGGGGTTTGATGATGGCCCAGCCAGAAGGAGCAAGTCTTTCTAGGAAAAGCTTGGGGTCGGGCCTTTCCACCATTGGTTCAGAACTTTAATATGCTCTTCAGGGATTTCATTGTTTCCCTTCCTGCCCTTTATTTTCCTTCCCTTCATCTCATTCTTCCTTCATTTTCTGTTCTCACTTCCTGTCACTCCTGTGCCACCTTGTTGCCCACTTCTCCATTGGCATCCCTGCCCTGTCCCTCACCAGCCATCTCACCAGAAAATATTGAGCTTCTCCTGTCTGCTGCTAGTGGATCTGGGGATACAGACACTGGGGTGCCCATTTTGATTCACATAGTGGATTTATAGGAAGTGATCTTGTAGACAGCACATAAGAACCTGCCCGAGTGTCTGTTAAGAGAGGTAGTGAAATGGTGAGTTCAGGAGGAAAGATTGTTTGGGAAAAACAAAATAAAGTTAATCTTCAACCTAAGCATTACAAAAGGTAGAAATAGCAGTGATCTCTGAAATTAAGGAGTAAATCCTTAGCTTGGGTCCCTGGTAGTTAAACTCTTCCAAGGAGTTTGTCCCTGTGTGGACACCATAGAGGCCAGCTGGAGCTCCCTCCAGTTCTCCAGGCCACCAAATTGCCAGTGCCTCATGGGGACTAGCACACTAGGCCTCAGTCAATCTCATTCCAGACAAAACTCAGCCAGATCCCTCTGGTGTGTAAATAGTGTCTCTTCTCTGTTTTTCTGTTTCAGACCTCCAGTCACTAATTTTTGTCTGGCTTCACATCCTTTTCTATATGCCACTGAGCATAATGTATTTGGCAGATACTATTCTCTGTTTGAGAATATGTAAAGAACTGCCAAGCGAGAGAAAGCAGAATTTAGAAATCTCTTCAGCTTCTGATCATGGAGAAGAAGTAACTTCGGAAAATCCCAAAGACATTTAGAAGAAGAGATGAAGTATCAGGAACAAGACCCACAGCAAGAAAGGACACATGGAAGTGCTGGCAGGGAGACAAGCATTTGCTCAGAGGGTGACCATAGATTTAGGGACAGCCCCTGCCTCTTCCTCACTGTGGTAGTGCTTAGACATAAATATCTGAAAATTAAATGTCACTTTCCAAAGCTTATAACTGTGGGTTCCATAGCTGACTTAAGACAAGTAAAGTAGACTTCAGTTAAGTAAAGCTGACTTCAGTTAAGACAAATGTAGAAATTTGGTAATGAAAGATAATTTAAGATGAGACCTCTAAAGAAATTATGAAAAATTTGAAAGTCAAAAAAAACTTAGAAGTCAAATCAAATTATTCTACTAATTTGAAAACCAGTATATTTTGAAGAACAGGATAAAACGTTGAGTGTTGGGGTCAGGGATTTAGCTCAGTGGTTCAAGTGCTTGCCTTGAAAGTATGAAGTCATGAGTTTGATCCCTGGTATCAAAAAAAAGTTGAGTGTATGCCTAACTACAAAGGATTAAGGCACAAAATGAGAGCGAAAAAGAAGAGATACAGGAAGGCACGCTGACATGTGCACATGCACACACACTGTGGGTGGGCAGGGGGTCATGGAGACCAGAAGGATGGGGGGAGGGTGGAGAGAAGGCAAAGAGGAAAATAAAACTTACACATTTGTGACTTTTGAGAAACTTTGAGAAAGAAAGCTCGCATTTGTGTGTTTAAAATAGTTACTTTCCTGGCTTTTCGAATTAGAATAGAACATTTCCAATCATGTTACAGACATGCAAGGGAGAAAATCATGAGGAGAAATGGTCGTGTAGTTCTCGCCTTTTCATTTGAGGCTTGCTCAAACCCTCTCTATCCAGAGACCCCAGACATCATGTCGGTCCACTACAGGCTCTGGTCTACAGGAAGGCAGAATGTAGTTGCTGTTGTCTATAATTAACCCAGGTCTCTAAGAATAGGCTCCAGGAAATTTCAAGGAGGCAAAAGCAGTGAGATCATGAAGACATGGCCCTTGCCTTCAGAGATTTACTTTACTCTTCTGATTCCTAGTTGGGCGGTATTTTGGGAACAAAACATTTGCCTGCTACTCTATAATATAGCTGACACTGAAAACTGAAATGTATGAATAATATTTTAGTAGAAATTTAGGGATAATAAAGAAGTATAATAAACATAGCAACAAAATGTAGCTTATTTGGCAAAGAGGGATCATCCCCAGCAACCATCTACCCTGGCTCCATATGGCTCCTTAAAGCTCTCTGTTAATACCAACCTCCTGGGAACCTCGCTAAACAACAAGGGGCCTGAGCCCACAGCTTGTCATCCGTACAAAAGTGAACATTCTTCTCTGCTTCACTTTTAGAAAAAAGGCACAATTATTATCTCAATATTATCTCCAGTGTTTGTGTCATTTTATGTGATATCAGCCGATGAACCCAGGTCTCCTGCCTGCCAGGCAAGCTCTCTGCCTCTGAACTACATCCCCAGCCACCAATGTTTGTATAAAAGAAGTGACTGCATATGGTAGCAGAAGTTTTGTTGATTACACAGGTTTGGTGTTACAGGCTGGAGAAACAGGCAAATGAGAACTGAAGGGAATCAGCCTCAAAGGAAAGAGTCCCAAAGACCCTCAGTAGTGACACTATCTTTAGAAGACTCCACAGGAATCACAAGCAGGAGGAAGGAGTGCAGTTCACACTCAGAACAGAAAGCGCTGCCTACACTCACAAGGTGGACAGAAATCTCAGGGAAAGGGCTGATGGGAAGGAGAGCAGACACAGATAGCAAAATAGCATAATTTCCTTCCCATTGTCAGCTTTCATGCTCCTTTGTCAGGCTTTTCCATGTTTTTGTCACAGTTTTTATGGGACTTTATTGTGTGAATCATTCATTTGACCACACAAATTTCTTAATTGGGCAATTTGCATTTCTGTCTTTCCTTATTTCTGGCTCATAGCTGTGCCAGGAAGTTCTTCAAGTCCCCCATGTTCCTGTTTGCTCCTCCAGCCTCAGGGCTTGGGCCACTCATACCTCCTCCAGGTGAGGATCCCAATCCTCTACTTCCCCACAGGGGTTTGATGCCTGCTCCTGGCACTCATCCCTCTCCATCTGTAGGCACATTCCTCTTTATTTTTTATTCCTAAAAATAGGAAGCTAGCAGAAAAATGTCATGTACTCACCCAGTACTGAAACATACTTGTTGACTCTGTTGAGGAGAGAGGCTGAAAGGATCCTGAAACACTTCTTTCTCAGCAGTTCCCACCTCTGGCAAAGCCTATGTGTGGATAAGGATTTGGTGGTGGTTAACTCTACTTGGGAACAGGGAGACCAAAGACAGGAAAGCAGAAGTGTCTCTGGGTCTGCCCTTGAGCAGATGCTCAGACATTGACAAGGAAACTGTACCTCAGGGTATCACTTTTGGAGTCACTAAATTTATTTTCAGACATAAAGACAATGCACCGATCAGTTTAATTCTTCACACCAGGTTTTCAGTTTTCTAAGAGAACTGGAAGCACCAGACATGGTGCTCACCAGAGCCTTTGGAGCAGGCCACCTGGCACTAGCCTAGAAAAGAGCCCTTCTGTGCCTTGGGACTCACATGCCACTGTCAGTCACACTCACCTGCATACACCAGAGAACAGCTAAAACCAGTTAAAGTCTCAGGATGGATCCTCAGTCAATAAAAATAGGAAGCTAGCAGATAAATACCATGCACTTTGCCAACCCTCAATTGGGACTGTATTGTATTCTACTCCGTGTCTCAGAATGCTCTCTAAAGGGCTAACTACAGGTCTCATAGTGACAATCTGCTCATTAGAGCCTCTTTTCCATCTTTCATTGCGTTGTATTTACAGAGGTTAGGGACAGAATTAGGTGTTAGATGTAGATATAGTAGCCCCTCATGAGATATTCTGAATGTTAGCATATTGTGGAAAGGTGGGGCAGAATTTATAACTGTTTTTACTTAAGGTGTTTTGTTTTTGTGGTACAAGGGGTTGAATTCAAGACCTTCCCTGTGAGCTACTTCTCAGCCTCCCCTCCTTTTAATACAGACTCCTTAAATCCCTAAGGCATTTGTATGCTCCTGCCCCAGTCTCCCGGGTGCTGGGATTACTGCCATGCAAACCTGGCTTCCCATTTAAAGACCTTACCTCTTTTTCTTTCTAAAACTGCTTGGCTGCCAGTGAGACTCTCATGAGAACAAGGAGGGAGGGAGATAACTACCCCTCATGAGAGGAAGGGAAATAACTACCCATGTGGTCGCAAACAGGCACAGCTCTGTACCTGCTCTAGTCATGCCTGAATTAGGCTGTGGCCAGATAGGCCCAGGAAATTTACGTTTCAGATAAACACTGCATTTCCAAGGAAAGGAGTGCACTGGAGTTAAATTCCCATTTTATATTTTGTCGAATCATTTAGAATAATTGTTTCATTTTGCCTAAAAGCATTGGATACCATAAATCCATGTTCATATTATTACATTAGCACTTATTATCAGTCACTTATCTGTCCCTAAAAGAGATGTGTTAGTAGGCCCTGTTGTAAATGATTACTGTACTTGACAACCGGCGTTATACACAAATTTGAGCTTGTCCTTCCTCAGAACCTGGGATGGACTAACCACTGAAGGCTCCTGGCCCCTGCAGGCATCCCTCAGCAGGATGTCCCTTGGCGGGCCGCGGGCGCCCCCGTGTGCTTTCCAGTGTGCACTGCTGACCTCAGATGCAAGCTTTAGTGCCACAGGCTTCCAAAAGATATGCTTCCCTGGAACTCTGAGGAAGGAAAATTGTGCTCTAAGTGGAGCAGCAGAGGGGATGGGAGTGGGGAGCAGTGATGCTGCTGAAAGATCAGCAAGCAATCATTCTGGTCTAGTCGCCCCGGTGCAGAGAGGGTCACCAAACCTGTGGGCGTCCCCACAGAATCCCGAGACTGCAGGGGTGACAGCCCAGTGGCAGGAAGGAAGCAGCGCTGGAGCTGAACAATCCTATCTAGATCCTGGTGGCGGGTCCTGCTCTGCACTCCATGCCCGCCACCTTGGAGATTGTAGCCTAGGCTGGCCCTGGTGCAGTGGCTTCTGCCCACCAGGGGCGCGGGCCAAGTGCCATTGCTGCAGGGCGGCCCCTAGGAGGTGAGGACTCCAGGCCAGGGCCACAGAGCTCACAGGAACCAGCTCCTCGGCCTGTTGAGAGACCCAAGCAAAGGCAACAAGAGGGGGCTGCGGGACAGAAGTCACAGTGCAGTGGAGATGGCTTCCTGCTGGCCGCCTCCCTATCGCGCCTTGTGGACCCTGAGTGAGCAGAGCAGACCAGCTGCCCTCAAGTGAGCCAAGGTCCAAGGCTTCACCTGTTCTGGATGTCAAGTTTCCAGGCCTGCAAGAGGCCCAGGAAAGGACCAGAAGACAGGAAGCAGCTGGAGGCATGGCTCTGGCTTCACTCCCAGGTCAGGTAGAATCCAACTCCCTGGCCTAGAGGCTTCATTTGTGAGGATCTTGGTCCTCTGTAGTTCCCAGAACTTTTTGTGGTTTGGTTTTTTTGTTTTAAACACAAGGTCTCTATGTTCCAAATTCACGGACTCATAGTGAGTTGGAATTCATTATGCAGCCCTGCTGGCCTCAAACTCTAGAAGATCCTCCTGCTTTGTCCTCTGAGTGTTAGATTTACAGACCTTTGCTATCATGACCTGCTCAGCCTTCTGAGCCTAAACCCAGGGTCTCTGGGACAGTTGTGGAGTAGAACAGGCAACTGGTTGTGAAGGAAGTGGATCAGTAGGGTCATCTGTGCTGTCCAGTCTTGGTCTGGAGAACCCTGAACTCTTTTGGGGAGCACAGATGTCTCTTTATGAGAGTCCTGGCTCATTTCAGAGCATTTCGAGTTTCCTACTTAGTTTTTAAATTTTTAAATATTTTTATATAAAGAGATTAAGACAAAGGAGGACATAACAAAGCAGATCAAAACAGAGCAATGTAAGCAACACAGTATTTCGCCACAAGACAAACTGTAATTAACAGTGACTACCATAACATCTCTTCCTTTGAAACAGTTGAGCATAACTTCATATACAATAGTATCAAACATAACAAATTAGTATAAAGCCATTCAAGAGAATGAAAGTATTACAGGGCATTCAGTACCAAATAACAGAAAATAAACAATGACTACCGTATTATCTCA